CGGCCATGACATGAACTAAGAAGGGTTTACGGCCATATGAAGAGTTTACGGCCGTAAACTCTTGATGTTCTTGCTAAAATGGTTGATTCTTGGATGCTAATCAAGATCTTCTAATAGATAACTAGTATATGGAAAGAATACTTACGATTTGGAAGCTTGAAGGGGTGATTACGGCCCAAAGAACTAGTGTGTGTTCTTGGTGTTCTTGACGATTTGAAGATCTAACCCCAAAAAGAGATGAATTCACGGATGAAATCATAGGGTTTTACTATATCAAGAAGGATATCAACTAATAATGAAAGAATTACTTACAACTTTGACGAGAAATGGAAGTGATCTTGATGATACTTGAGAGAGAAATGATAGTTCTTGACTTGGAGATGTGAGAAGTGAAGAAAAATGAAGGAAAATCATACTTAAGGAGAAAAGTTCACGGCTAGACAAGAGTTTACGACCGTAAACTCTAGTTTGTGGTCGTAAACTCCTTGTGATGGAGTTTTCCGGCTTGAATGCTACACAATGAAATCTAGTAGATACTTCCTAACACCCAATCCTTGAATGTACTAGGCTTAGAACACTCAAACAGACCCTTAAAAATGCTAAAAGATAGCAGAAACAAGTCTGACTTTTGATTGAATTGAATGGCTTTACAAGATAGAAATTTCGGGTTGTTACAGTTTGTGCCCTATTTAAACACCTTAAGTTGCTCTTGGACTATGATATGACCACCCTCCATCCTTCTAATCACTAAGAACGAAACCCTATTCTCCATTTGAGTGTTTGTGAGCCATAGTTGTGATCTTATAGTGTTTTTAGATATTTTGGAGGAGGTAACGATTGGTGGTGAAGCTTTGGTGGAATTGGAGCTTGAAGATCCAGAATCTTCATCAACTTTTGTAAGCTTTCTGAGGTATAAATCTTCCACCTTCGTAACTCTAATTGCTAGATCTAGTTTAAGGCTTTGTTTTGGTATGTTTTGGCCTCATAAGTCCTCCTTGTGAGTATGAGTCACTCAAGGAGTTGGAAATACTAGATCTTAGCCTCTCTAATGTTCCTCATGCATAAAAAAGCTACCTTGCTGTCTTATTTTGGACCATGAATGAATTAGGACTCTTATTATGAGTCTTAATGGTCAAAAACGAGTATTGGGTCCCTTTTAGCGATGCAAAGGCTCAAAGTTAAAAACTTTATGGATTAAGACGTTCCATTAGACTTGGATATGTAATTTGGATGTTGGAATGCAAGTATTAAGCACTTAAGGAAAAAGTGCTTAATGGGCGCATACAGTGGGCATACGTAAGAGTACGCTGCGCGTACGTGCCCGTGTCCACGATCATGCACGCAGCCTAGTACATAGGGCGTACGTCTGGTACGTGCAGCGTACCAGGCCTGGTCTTGGGTTTTTGTGTTTTAGGCCCTATTTGGAATATTGGGGTTTTGGGTCTTGTTGGGCCATTAGCCTTTCTGAATTTGGGCCATTTCCAGACTTTAGGCCTTCTTGGATTTAGGCCCATAATGGACTTTGGGTATCATTTAGAAATTTGGGCCGTTTTGGGCTTTTTGGTGTCATTGGGTGGGCCTCGGATATTAGGTCAAGTGAGGAAAGGGTAAAATGGTCTTTTACCCTGGGTGTTGGACAGATGAACTAGAATCCCAGTATTGGTTTATGGCCCAATTATTAATTGGGTATTATTAGATGATGTTTAGTGCGGAGATTTTCTCAGATCAACAACCCGAGCTTTTATCTGATTTATTCAGCAGTTCGAGGTGAGTCTCCTCACTATGCTTGGCGGGAAGAATGCACCAATGCCGACCCATGATTTATTATGATTAGGATGCTAGTTGTCTGTGTAACTCTTGCATGTGTGGTATGTGATATGTATACCTAGGAGGTCCGATGCCATGCAGGGCCTGATGAGTGTATTGTATGCTATTTATCTTAGTGACTCTTGCATGTGTTTTATGTGTCTGTATGAATGTTGGGCGGGGCCCGACGTCAGGCGGGGCCTAATGAATGTGATGAGGCGGGGCCCATCTCATGATACTGATAGATCTGTTCTGAGCGGGGCTCGATCCCGGGCGGGGCCCGTTGGTTGTCGGGCATGGCTCGTTGTAGGTTGATATGTATGATATGAGGTGTTTTGGGGAACTCAATAAGCTTCGTGCTTACGGTTTTTAGTTTATGTTTCAGGTACTTCCGGATCGAAGGGGAAAGGATCATGATCGCATCGCACACACCACGATTTTCATTTATTTGACTCTGATGTATTGAGATGTTTGATCGATATGCTTTGATTTTCTTTTATGGTTTTATGAACACGTTTTGGGATGATGGTTTTATTATTATTAAAATGAAATTTTTGGTCCTAAATTTTGGGACGTTACAGACGATGATTCCAAGCTGGTCCCTAGCTCCCTTGCACCAAGATGATCTTTCTCATTCCTCAAGATCCACTAAAATCAAAGAACAAGGTCTTCAATTAAGAAAACAAGCTCCTAAACATTCATGGAGGCTAGGGTTTCATTGTTGGAGAGTTGGAGGCTAAAGAGTATGCCCTAATCATTGAGATTAGGTGCTTAAATATGGAGGAAACCCTAAAAATTACATGCTTGGGCTGCAACAATTGCCACATCATATCCTTCCTCTTGCTACATCGTGGCGGCCATCCAAAATGTGTGTTTCTTGCATTTGTAATGCCAAGTCATGGTGCTCCAATCATCACGTCGTGGCACTAAATTTTTCCCAAAAATGTTACCTTTGATCCCTCTAAGTCCTCAACTGATCCATCTTGGAATACAGGTGTTACAATTCTCACCTTCGTCCTCGAAATCGGTCCTTACAATTCACCTCTTATATACACTACGACCCTCTTGCAATTCTTCTAATCCCATTTCAATTGCACTGGCCGGCACAACTTTCTTACCATGGTTAGCATTTACCACCTCATAATTATGGCGCCCACACAACACCTTACAGCGTGCACGATGTCCACTCCGATCAACCTAAATATATAATTATACTTAAACTTTAGAATCAAATTATGTTTACATGTAACTCATCTATAAATTACATTGTAATTTAAAATTAATAAAATGATTCTATATTTTATGTCATATTTTTATTATTATATTTAGTTAACATGAAATTAAACACTAAAATTGATGAAGTTGTTGTGATTTTATCCATTTCAGACATACCATTAACTTTATCCTTTAAACAGTGTTTTAGTTTATTTATTTTGTTACAATAGAAAATGATCATGTACGTGTTTAGAACTTGATCAATTCACTAACAATTAAAAAGTTAACTACACAATACAAGTTAGAACTTATACCCCAAAATGGATTCAATTAGACAACAATAATTAACTAAACAACCATAGAATATTTTAGATCATACCATATACTTGTAAGGATATGTTGATGTAGGAGATGAAAATCACAAATTATTGCCACGAATGGTATCCATACGACCATATCTGAAATTTTGTTAGACATCAACCACCAAAGCAAGCCATCTTGTTCCTTCTACCTTGACATTTATCGACTATTAACACGAAGAAAGGGAGGCTTCAAATTCATGGTTAGGACAAGGAAGGAACAAAGATGCACGTTAGGGTTTCTTACATATACTTGACAATAATCTTACATTCCCTTTCTTATATACTTGCATTAATGAGAGTGTTTTATAGAAAGTCTTTCAAGCCATTAATAAAATAACTCCAAAACCAATTTAACTAAATATTGCTAATTACATTTTTTCGTTGCATTTATAAAAATTTAGATTTTAAAGCATAAAACTTTTCAAATAGATTGAAATTATGGAATATATTTGCTAGAATTACTAGGTTATTACAAGTTGCAGATGTATGAAATTAAAGTATATTCACACCTATAATGAGTTGATGCTATTACAAACGTTGTTTGAACCTATTGGGTTACATATAATGGGTCGATGTTACTACCAACGTTACATGAACCCATATGAACCCAAGAACCAAAAATCATTATAGGACGAGACTAGACCAAGTTGATAAGTAACGTGGTCCACACCCTTATGAATGAAATCTAGCACAATATGTGTCAGGCCTAGCCAATCCCGCCCTCTTACACCCTAAAGATTGGTATTTAAGCATAACGTTGCACAATTCATACTCGATTTCTCTCACATGAAATTCAAAGCAAACCTAGGGTTTTAGAGAGCTTTTGAGGCACTTTACTCCATCTTGTGAGACGGATAAGATCCCTGAACTAAAATAACATTACATGATGACTATTTTGGCTTCTTGATTTTCATGTTATTTAACCTGAAAATGTTATTGAATATAAGTAATTCATATGGTTGGATATTTAGCTTATTTTGGTTCAATTGTCAATATGTTGGACGGCCGGTCTGATTTACTAATTGTTATGATTGGCCGGTCTGATTTACTAATCGTTATAATTGTCCAAAACCATACACTATATTCCACTACACCATATAAACAACTACAATGAACTTCTTTCCAAGAAACTACATTGCACTAATGTCATTAATATGTAGCTCCTAAGCCCAAAGATTAAACCATAATTTCGTAAATTCAAAATATTTTATAGTGAAAACTTATCGGAATGATCACAAACCAACATCGTAAATTAAACTAATTACCAAAAATAAATGACTTGTCATATGACACTTCTACATGTCGATGATTTAATAAATAATCCGATGAGAAAAAGACAATTAATTGATTAAGCTAACATTGAAAAGGACAAATTTGTCATTTAAACCATTACAAAGGACAAATTAGACATTTTGAAGCCGTCCTTGATTTGTTTTGATTTGCAGATTGAATGCGACGTAAGAGAGATGGATTTTCTTTGTAAAAAGGTTAAGCTTCTCTAAGCTTTGACACAGACTGTTGTTGATGTGCACACAAAACAAACAAACAGCTTCCTTCCTTTATTTCTTTTCTTTCCCCAAAATACAATACATTCCCCAATTTAAAAACCGCCATCTCTCTCTCTCTCTCTCTCTCTCTCTCTCTCTCAGATCCTAAACGACGACCTCCAAAAACCCTTTTGGTTTTTACCCTCTAATTCCATCTCTAGCCTCTTCAATCTACTTTCTTAATTTCTTTAATATATTTACACAGATTTGTCTCCTTGTGAGTCCTTCGGGAAATAGGATATTATGAGCTGTAATAAGCTCCTGATATTCGACTGTATACCCGCTTAATTGTCTTCTTCTGCCAATTGGGGTTTCCATTCTTACATGGCGAAGAGGGTCTACGAAGTCTGGAAAGGAAGAAATGTAAGATGTTTAACTTCTACTTCCCTTGCCTTTTATCATCTGGGTAAACTTTAGATTTGCAGCATATAATTACTCTCATATACTTGTTTCGTTGATTGATTTACTTAGCTTCTTTCGTTTATTGTCATATTCCCTTAATTTGACCCTTTCTGTAGCATTGTCATGCTTCTTCCCTTGTGTTATTGATTGAACCAACCTTGTCTTAGCACCTTGTTTAACTCAATTGTCTTTCAGTTGGACATGTTAGGATGAAATGCTGATGAATATGTTAGTTTTTAAGAAAACTCATTGGAGATATAGTTGGAGCATGGAGGTAGGAAGACCTAATTTCTTGATAATAAAGAACTTGCACATTAAAACCTACTAATAAAATCCATGTATTCTTATGTTCTTGCCATAATCTAAAGCCTAGGAAGTCATGACACCTCTTTGTCTTCCTGTAACTATAGGCCAGGGTTTCTACTATGAACAATCAGACGATGATGTCACTAGGCCAACAACTAAAACTTGTCTTTTATAACTTCATTAAGACACGTAGAAATACCATTGCCAATGTCAACTCGGAACATACTGATTACCACTAAATGCATGTTATAAGTCTTTTTCTGATACTTGGTTGTGCAAATTACTCTTCATGCTGTCACATCAAACACATTCTTAACATACTCACTATCTGCAAATTACTCTTCATCTTAATCTGCAAAAGATCTTTCTTTATGCACATATGATTGGTCCACACTGTGTTTGTATGATCATTCTAGAAACAGTTGGAGGAAGAAACACTCAGTTCTTAATAGAGCATATTAGTAGCCTTTAGGCATTGGTAATTTGTAGGTATCTGATAGTAGCCCTAAAATAATAACAAAATGTGTAGCTCTACTTACTTTTTGAATTATAATTAATGATAAAAACCTATATCACAATTAACCCTTTCTAAAATCATAATTTTTCAGAAATTCTTTCTTGGAGGGAGGTTGATTTTTGGTCCAGATGCCAGGTCACTACCTGCTACAGTATTGCTGATTATTGTCCCAGTTATAACTTTTTGTATATTTGTTGGAAGACATCTTCGCCATCAGTTTCCATCATACAATGCAGGATCCACAATCATTGTTGCAGCAATCCTTTTCACCATCTTTGTAATTACTCCCCTCCTCTTTACTCTTTACCCTTCACCATTACATATCTACATCAAAATCATTTTTTTTTTTTAAAAAAAAAAAAAAAAATCTTTCTTTAGGTATTGGCCCTTCTCCTTCTTACATCAGCCCGGGACCCAGGAATCGTCCCCCGCAACTCACATCCACCAGAAGAAGAATTACGTTATGACAACTCAGCAGCACACGAAATAGGTGGAAGACAAACACCCAGTTTACAATTCCCTCGAACCAAAGAAGTTATGGTCAACGGGATTTCTGTTAGGGTCAAATACTGTGACACTTGCATGCTTTACCGGCCCCCACGCTGCTCCCACTGTTCCGTTTGTAACAATTGTGTCGAACGCTTTGACCATCACTGCCCTTGGGTCGGTCAATGCATCGGAATGGTAAAATCTCAAAAACCCAAATACGTTTTTTATGTCATATCTTAGCAACCAACTATTTCATATGTCCTCATTTAGCCATTTTAGTCATTTTAATGTCTATTAGGGTAACCAACTACTAATGTTATTTGAAATCCACCATTATGACCTGTTATAGCTGGTTTTAATTTTACCGGTACTGAGTGATGATTTAATGTTGTCCACGTGGACAAAGTATATGCCAAGTCATCATCCAGAACCGGTAAAATTACAACCTACTATAGCAGGTCATAATGGTGGATTTCAAATGACATTGATAGTTGGTTGCCCTAACAGACATTAAATTGACTAAAATGACTAAATGAGGACATATGAAATAGTTGGTTGCTAAGTTATGACATAAGCTATTTATTATTTCAAGATGTTTGAAGTGCTGACAACTGTACTTTTTTTTTTTTGAATGTTGCAGAGGAATTATCGGTTCTTTTTTTTATTTGTCTCGTCTGCAACGATTCTTTGCGTATACGTATTTGCCATGTCAGCGTATTACATGAAGGTTTTAATGGATGATTACCAGAGTACTGTTTGGAGGGCAATGAAAGAGTCTCCCGCATCTGTAGCTCTCATGGCGTATTGTTTTATTTCACTGTGGTTTGTTGGTGGGCTCACTGGGTTCCATCTCTACCTTATAAGTTCAAATCAGGTAACAATTGAATTTTGGTTCTTGTAATGATTTTGGTCCCTATACTAAGTAAAATGACTACTTTTGGTATCTGAGTTAACTAAGGGAGAAAATTGAAAGAGAAGTTTTTGTGACCAAAATTGCAAAAGTTAACTATACTCGGGGACCAAAAGTGTTATTTACTCAATTTTAAATCTAATATTTGTAAAAAACTGTAATTTTCTTGTTTTCAGACGACATATGAAAACTTCCGGTATAGAGCGGACAACAGGTACAATGTTTATAACCGGGGATGCGTAAACAACTTTCTAGAAGTTTTCTGCACGAAAATAAAACCCTCCCGGAACAAGTTCCGGGCGGTGGTGCAAGAAGAAGTGCAGCGGCCGCCACCTCCGGCCACCACCCGGGAGGTCGCTGGAGAGGAGCCAGGGCCGGAGGAGCGGCGGATGAAAGTGGAGGATGATCTTGATATCGGAGGAGATTTATTAAAGATTTCTCAACGCCATAACATTGAAGATATTGAATCAGCAGATATAAGAAGTAGAGGAAGCGATAATAATATTAATAATAATAATAACAATAATAATAATAATAATAATAATAATTGTTCAGAAGTTGAAATGGAGAGGCGTGGGCGTGCTTCTTCTTTGCCACCTGGAACTGGAAGACATTCGAGTTGGGATTTGTCACCGGAAGTTGTTGCCATGAATTCAAAGGAACGCCACCAATGATGATTGATGACGATGACTCACACATTAGTAGGGCTACTTTAGGATTTTATTTTTTTGGTGGATTTGGATGAATTTGTGTGATGATGATGGTGATTGGATGATTTGGTTGGCTCCATTCTTTGTGTAAATAAGTACTTTTCAAGATTGTTTTTGATACTTTTGGGTTATGGTGTGTTATTATTGTTGAAGGCTTATTTGAATTTCTTTATAACCAAATCAGCTTTTATATGGTGTGTATGTTGGTTGCAATGTGTAGCCTGTAGGACGTAGGCAACAATTAACATTAGAATTTCAGCAGACCATTAGATGATTGTTTCTAGTTGCCAGCCCATTAAAGTGAATTCAAAGTGGCCCAATAGTAGACCTGACAATTCGTGTATTCGTGTCATGAAAAACGTGTAAGCCACGAATTTGACACGATACGATTACACGATGAGAAATAAGATTTATTTCAATTTTCAAGATGTATTTGTGTCGTGTCTCTCACAGATTCGTGTATTCGTGTCTCGAATTGTCAGGTCTATCTTGTCTGGTCTATCCAATAGATTGTTACTTTTAAGTTTTAATATTGAGGAGGAATCAATTAACCTTCGTTGTCTCCTTTTTGTAAATTTTTTATTTTCATTATGTGTAGTTAATCTCTTTAATAATAATATCGTGTTTTATATCAATTTGCTTTGGTTTGAATGTGAGGTGATTTGTATGGTTTTAGAATTAATTTGTGTTTGTGCAATCCTTGAATTTAAAGATTTTAATGTTTTATGTATTTGTTTTGATTGATCATCTTTGCAATGTTTAGGGATTTGTATATGATGGTAAATAGCTTGTTGAGTCCCTTTTGATTCCATTCTAAGCTATTATGATCGTATGATCCAAACCACATGATTTGTACGTATGAGTTCGTGGATTAGAATCGAAAATCATTTGATTTTAATGCTAGTTGTAATTTGGTTCTAAGAGCTTATTTAGAATCATTTGCGATTAAGATGTAATTCACGACCTTATTAGATTTATATATAATTAAGAATGATTTGGGTTATTAGAGCTTGTTAATGTAACACCTAATTCAGGTAATCAATTCATTTATGCTTTTGGTTCGATTAAAAATGTAAAACCATAGATTTTAAGATGATCACGACGTGAGGAAGGAAGCCTCACGACGTGCCATCTATGGAGAAACGCATATCTAACTTTATGGGTCACGACGTGACGAGTATGTAGTCACGACGTGACGAGCATCTGGGGGTTAACCATAATTCTGTGTTTTGTGCCCTATTTAAGGGATGCGAGGGGTTAGAGTTTGCACACCATCAACCTCCATCACCTCCGTCTCTGCCCTAAACAACCTGGCCTCCATTGTTGATCTTGAGAGCTCTTTTGGTGGTTTTTAGCTCCTTGTTGAAGAAGAAGGTTCCTTTGGTGCACTGTTTCAACAATCAAGCCTCCTCACCATCTTGTGTTGTTTCTGGACCTTTGTAAATCATCGAATCCTGTCATTTCTCATTTAAGCAAGATCTAGGTTTTACTCACTTTTATCCATGAATTGGTTGAGTTAAATGCACGAAATCCATAAAGTTGCCAACTTTATGGATCTTTGAGGTCCTTTGATAAGCATAAGTCTCAGATCTAAAGTTTGGTGGTGGATTTGACTCCATGCATGATTTTTAGTCTCATTTTCCCTTTATTTTGACCTAGTTGGTGTTCAAGACATGCATTGGACATGCATACCTAAAAAGCTACGATTTTTATGGTCCTTTAGGTTGGAGAAAGCCTTCGGGAAGGTTTGAAGGTTTGGCTTGAAGGATTAAGAGCTTAATGCTTTTAGCTATCTAGATCAGGTCTCATGATGTGACGAGTTATGTGTCACATTGTGACGATGAGCGTTTGCACGACTATTTTGTCCTAACTCCGTCATGACATGACCCATGGGTGGCCACACTGTGACAATCGGCTGGGGCTGACTTTATTGTTGACTCTTGACCATGGTTGACTTTTGGTCAAACTAGGGCTTTAGGGTGTAGACTGAGAGGGTACTTTTTTTATTGTTGTTAGGTGTGTCGTTGTGCCTGTCTACCCTGTGTGTGAGCTGTTGTGTTTTAGCTGCTATTCGTGAGGTGAGTTTTCTCAATATATTTACCTGTGTGGTAGTCATATGTGCTGACCTGCTAGGTCCTAATTGTTGATTGTTATTATATGTGAAATTAAGTTGCTGATAGCTTCTGGATTGTTGTGAATCCACAGGATTGCTGAAAATCCCCAGGGTTGCTGATAACCCCTGAAACGTGTTGTTAATCCACAGGGCATGTTGTCGGCCCACTGAGATTGTTGATAATCCCCAGGGTTGTTGATAACTCATAGTTGTTTATTATGCTGTGATAAGTGTGATATTTTGGGAAACTCACTAAGCTTCGTGCATATAGTTGTAGATTAAATGTGTTTCATGTACTTTTGATGATCACAGGTAGACGAAGGCTTGACTGTACACTTTGACTTGCAGATTTTTATGCTTTCCACATTTTAATACTCTGATTTGGGATGATTGTATTTGATACACCAGAGATTTTATTGACTTGGGTTTTATAATACTTGAGGTTTTTCCTATATTAAAAATGAAAAATTTTGTGGTAAAAATCAGAATGTTAAAGTTAATGACTAAGTTAATGACTATAGTCAGTTTGGAAAATGATTTATAAACTATTGCACCACAAATATTGATGATCATGGAACCAAATTAAATCTAAGAAAAAAAACTTAATATTAGAACTTTTTATTTCACAGTTTACATCTTTGCATTTTAGCTGTTTATGATAAATTAGTTTTTATTTATTTTTAGCATTAGTCGCATTTAAACCGCTTTATAGTTTTTTTTGGTTTGTATAAATAAATGCATACAACTGATACTACAATTCATTTTTGTATTGCATTTTTTTTAGTTTGGTGGTTTCCACCACCACATTAAAAAAAGCTTTAACCTATTGGAGGCTATGAAACCCTAACTAATTAGGGTTTTAATCGAGAAAAGGATAATACCGGGTAAGTTATTTCTTTTGGTTCAAGAGTTTCCAATAAGGGTCAGACCCTTTTATAAGCACATAAACCCTAATTTAGACCCTTATAGGGCCCCATACTTGTCTCTCCCACCATCTTCCTCCTCATCCTCCTCTTTCTGAATCCTTTAAGATTTTAGTCCATTTAACCTTGGAACATTGTAGTATACAAGCATACTTAATTCCTTGGTTAACCGGTACCTTGTCTTATATCACTAAGATCCTTTAGGTTCTTGTCATAAGGCTGTAAAATTTAGTTGCTCATTATAAGTAGTTAGTATAATGTATATTTGGATTAGTGTAGTAAGGTGCTTATTAGTTTATTATAAATTGAAACCACTAAGTGTTTTGGAGTGCACAACATAGCTTTTGCTTATTAAATTAAACAAACAGATATAACAAAATGTTTTATTTTAACTTATCAATTTATTGTTAGAATTTCGGGGTAATAAAGGCACTTGGATATTGTGAGAATTGTGATTCCACTTTCAAATCAAAGTATTTGGGTGGTACTCCCTAATCTATAAGGATTAATGCTCTGCCCCTTGGACCCCGCCAGGTGTTGCCGCCCCTTGGACCCCACTCCCAGGGGTACTGCCCCCGACCCTTGTTCGTTCACGGGCTTCGCCCCTAAATGACAATATACTTTTAATCTTGAATAAACTTAAACAAGTGTGCACTCCGCACATTTCTTACTTGTTTAATATGCATCAAGATTGATTTTGGTCAACAAGTCAACCCATTACACTTAAATACAATTGGTGAAGCAAATCACCAACAAACCTCCCCCATTTAAGTGTAATCTTGATTAACTTAAAACAAAACATAACAACAACAAACTAATGCATAAATGAAATGTCGTGACGATTTAATTTCACATTAGTATATTATTCATTCCAAATATTTGAATATCAGGGTGTCACTAAGGATTGAACCCTTTCTATTCATTGTGAATACATGAAGATAATACACACAACAATTTACATTCTCATAAGTTCTAACTTGACACCACATTTTACTAACTTGTGTCCCATCCTTCAACAAGCATATCAAAGTCAAGTCCCAACTTCTTGAAGCAGCTAAACTTCATGCTTATATAGGTAGTTCTTTTGTTCTTGCACCTGCAAATGCAATTTTTCAAAGAACTATTAAGAAATAAAATTTCAACTTCCTTAACTTGCAGTACTGAACACATACCTTGGGATAATGATAATAATGTGTTCCAATCTTCAAATATCAAGCTTTCCACATTGAATTCAACATCTAATATTACATTAGATGGGAATTGGGTATCTCAATATAACAGATTTTAAGTGGACTTTAAACCCATCCCTACAGCCGCCTTGTGCACAAGATCTCTTGCTAACCCTTTGGTTAGATGATCGGCTAAATTCAAGTGAGTTCTTACAAACTCCACAGATATCACACCAGTCATGATGAGTTCACGAATCATGTTATGTCTAACACCTAAATGTATAGACTTTCCATTGTACACTTGACTATAAGCCTTAGCCAAGGTTGCAACACTATCACATCTGATAGAAATGGTAGATATCGGTTTGGGCCATAATGGAATTTCATAAATCAAATTCCTTAGCCACTCAGCTTCTTTACCAGTAGAAGACAATGCAACAAACTCAGACTCCATGGTTGAGTTAGTAATACCAGTCTGTTTCTTAGATTCCCAAGAAATGGCACCTCCTCCAAGAAGAAACACCCAACCACTTGTAGAGGAGTGATCCTTTAAGTTGTTAATCCAGCTGGCATCTTAATAACCTTCCAAAACATAAGGATATCCACTATAAGTTAAACCATAATTCATGGTCCCTTTCAAATATTTGAATACTCTACTCACAACTTGCCAATGATGTGAACTAGGATTACTAGTATATCTACTAAGCCTTCCCACAATATATGCTATATCAGGCCTAGTACTAAACATGACATACATTA